GATTTAGTCAGCAATTTATTGTATTTCGATCAATAACAGTTAATTTGATTTCACAAACGATTAATTACAGGCTTCTCGAAGCGGTCGTTGACAATGCATTGATTCAATATTTGAAGTTTTATAAAAATACTAAGTAATGAAGTCTTTTATGAAATTTACAGACTCCTTGAGAAGTATTTATACAGTATATCATTGATCATAGGAAGCAAGCTGGGAGAATGTTTACCCAAGGAATAAATTACACTAGAACTTAATCCTTCCCTTGAATTGTGTACTGTACATTAGTATTTTTTAATTGAATGTTTTGATCTTCTTTGGAAATGATATTGAAATTTTTTGCACTAAGCTGATTAAAAACTTAATTATTTAATTGACTTGGGAAGATATTGCTTTCTGGTGAAATGTGCTCTTGTTTGTTACTGGAGTTGACTCGAAAACCAGTTTAATAGCCAAGAACAGGAAAATTTGAAAATCCTAGAAATCTTCTCTCCACACTCAAATAGGGTTGAGAATATCAATCATTTGCAAAAACACTTTCTAAAAAAAATTAATTCTCAGTGAAAGTTCTGTCCAGAGATGAAAACTAAACCAAGTCCAGAACCATTACAACAGCTGGACCCCAAATCAAAGCGCTTGTGAGTGCAGTTTTATTGCATCGATGTTACTCACTCTTGACAAGGAAATCTTTAAAAATTGTTTTAATTTGCTTTTCAGGAAGATGATGGAAGCAACTACTTCGCCTATACTGGCGGGCAAGTGAGTGCAGCTGACCTTGATAAATTCTAATTATTGTGTTAGAGTAGCTGTCATTGAGTCCTGGTTCAACTTTTTATCCATAGCACCTTCCAGTTGTGCATTGTGAAAAATGTTGCCATTATGCTAAGATTTGTCAAGCAAATTCAAGATTAACTGTCCTCTAGTACTGTACAAACTGTACAGTTGTTAAAGTGATCCCAGGCCCGAGCCACCTAGGCTCTTTTCATTTTCATTGTTTTTCTCACTGTTGTCGTGGATTGGTTGTACGCATTTAATATGTCAAAGACTTACACTATTGTACTTCTACAATGTACATGGTTATGTCTGTTTCTGTACTTGTGACAATTTTTAATGGTACCTATCACAATCGCGGTGTTGCAGTAGAGGCCAGTTTTGTGCCACAATGTTACTTTTCTTGGCTGCTATCTGTTTCATTGTAAGTCAGCTCTGTTATTGTAGAACTTATTTTCCAGGTACTTTTACTTCACTTTCTTTTAACACTTTTTTTTTGTCTTCATACTAACCGTTTTTCCTCAATAACTGATATATACAACTTACAAGTATCTACCACAATCCTTTTAAAAAGTGCACCCGGGTTCTAAACTGTGTTGTTTATAACTACATGTACAGAAGGTTTCATGATTTTTAATTGTTTCTATAAATTACACTTGCTGGGAGCTTGCTCTTTAAATAATTTATAGAGTATCAGGCTTAAGATAGATATCATGTACTTGAATTAATTTCATGGACTGCCGATGTACACAAAGGAGTGTTTGATTCATGACTAAAGGTGCTTGTGAATGAAAATACCTAAAGAGCTTAAAATCCCTGTTTTGTAGCTATTTAAGTGAGCTTTGTATTAAGAAAACTATGCCAGCATTTCAAATAATGTGATTTCCATTAAAATCTTTCCCAATGGAGTTCAAAGCAGCCTTTTTTGGAATTCTTTATATTATACCCAAGCCCAATAGGGCGACATGTACATGTATGTCGAGGAAAAGGTTGTTGTTATTCATCGTGGTAGATGCAATAATAAAGTGTATTATCGTTTGTCTCATGATGTGGTCACTTGAGATGTAGATCGCAATCTACATCTCAAGTGACCACATCATGAGACAAAGGATAATACACTTTATTATGTACATGTATGTCAAGTCAAAGTTCAATTATCACACAAGGTAATGTCAGGCAAACTGAAGACCTGAAATAATTACACAAGAATGATGTACATGAGGAACCTAAACTTTATTGATTGATTTTAATGTACATGTAAATGAAATATGTAATGTAACCATTCAGCAATTAAATCATACCCATAGGACTATACAATAAAGTACTGTAGATGTACACTGTACTTCCTATCCAAATATGTTTGCTTGAAATAGCTCACAGAACCAAGGTCCAATCAAACAGAGGAAAACACAAGTCAAGTGATTGTCATTGCTGTTTAGTGGGATGATCTGTTATTTTTTACCAACAAGATTGTTGTGAAAGAAAATACTTCACCTTTGTGACTCCCATTCATCTGTTGGATACAGATGGATGGATGCAGACTTCTCAGTTTAGATGGATGCAATTTATACTGGAAGTTTCATTGAATTTACCCTACAATGTAGTCAGAATGACAAAATATTGCTTTAAAAATTGGTAACTTGGGAATCAACTTAATACACTCTTTGCTGTTTGAGATTCTAGATTCTAAGTTGCCACTAGAAATGTGAAATCCAGAGAATTCCAGATGATCACACATAAACCTTTACTTCAGTATAAATGTGACCTGTTGTTTAATACATACATTTGGTGTACACATTACCATTAGATAATTTTTCTCTGTAGAAATCCTTTCACTCTAGCTGCTTTAATATTCTCCCATTATGCATAAAATGTAGGTAAGCCTTGCTGTCTATTAACCTTTCTAACCCACCCAATCTGTATTATATATTTAGGAAATAGAAAACGTGTACCATATTTCTATCAAGTTTTAGTATAAATCTACTAGTGTTCTATCACAAATGCCGTTCTCTGATTGGCTATGCTACTCACTATCTATTCTGTGATAGATGTTGAGTAGCGTAGTTCAGTGAGCCCTTGTTAACAAAATGATGGCCACTTCTTGGCGTTTTCGAAGTGTCTGGTGAAAGAGGATCTATATAAATTTTGAATGACTAGTAGATTTATACTAAAACAATTAGATTATAAATTTGCTCTTGAGCTCATAATCTAATTGTTTAATAGAAACACGAGTGGAAGTTTGAGAGAGCAAGAAATGTTGTGGGAACATGAGCTGACAGGTGAGCGTTTCCATGGCTTTTTTGAGTTCTCCCCAACTTCCATGAGTGTTTCTATAACTGGATAGAAACACAGCTGAGAACTTGTGTTCCATTTCTTTTAGAAAATTCTGCAACCCGAAGAAAATGTACAGTGGAACCCTGTTAATACGACCACCTTCGGGCCATGGAAAATTGGTCGTATTAACAGGTGGTTGTATTAAAGGGGTTCTTTAAATAATAAAATGACTGTCTGAGCTTATTTTGGGACCAGAATGAAGTGGCTGTAATAACAAGGTGGTCGTAAGGCGGGGTTCCACTGTATAATTTAATTTCGTTTGCTCACACCATTGTTACATGTATGTCTACAGCTTGTACTAGTTCGGTGTTTCTGTCAAGTTATTGCATGTACATGTATCAGGGCTCAAAATAACAGTTGGTCAACAGACAATATCTGGCCAAAATGGTAATTTGACGGGCCAAGAACTTCGCTTGCCGGTCATGTTGACCTGTCACATCATGTTGAGACAGTCATGTTGTTCATTCTTGAATAAACAATCAAATCCTCAACTGTAAGTCTTAAAGATTTTTAATCTCTTGTTTATTATGATCTCTCACACGAAAACATATACTGAC